TTGGTTAAAGGAATCAAGTCCATCCTGTACTGTAAATTCACACAAATGCCATGACAATGGAAGGAATGCTAACCTTGGTGAACCGACCCTACCGGTTTATCTACCCATGTCTCTAATTATCCATACATACACGCCAGGGGACATGGAAACACACACACAGGGTAAAAATACTACAGCTCATTAGGGCCTGAAACTGCAAACTAATCCAAGCATTTGAAGGAAACGACAAGACAGTTGGGCCACAGACAATGGAATGTGTGTTGACAAACAAATCCTTATTCAGCCCCTCATAGTTGCATAATTATATTTAAGTTTGCTAATTTCTGCTAGAAAGCTTTGAGTTGGTGGGAAACTTGTCCTATTTCCTCAATTGTGGAAAACAAACAAATGAGGGATTCAAAGTTCAACTGTGATGAGTGGACACAACTGTGTAGGCCAGAAAGCCCTTTATTCCTAATAGTAGGCTCTGGCGTAAGCTATTGCAGCAACATCGACCAAAATAAAAGAAAGCATAGTTGTGTGTTTACACAGTTTCACAATGGTACCTGTTTGTCATCAATAAGGATGGAATGTGCTCAAGCCACTTCTCTGTTCCCATTAAGTTTCTAATGGTCAGGCTTCTTAGAATTTCTAATGTTTACTGTTGCGTGGAGGACTAGCTGAACTCGCTTCGAATGCCTGTCAGGAAATGTTCACTAATAATAACAAATAATAAGTGTCAAACAATCGCCTGGGCAAAGAAACCTCACTCTGTGGCAAAGCTCATCTTAAGCATAAACTGAAGAATATTCCATACACAGAAGGGTTGCGTAGCAAATGGCACCCTATTCTCTTTATAGTACACTACCTTTGACCAGAGGCCTATAGTGGTAGTGCACTATAAATTAAACAGCGTGCCATTTGGGACACATCCAAGGTTGATAATTAAACCATCAAAGTTAAATGGTAGCTTCTTCCTCCTGCGGTGTTCTAGCTGCACATGACAACCCAGGTGAAATGGTGGGACATTCAGTCTTACCACATACAGTGAGCTCCATAATTCATTGGACAGTGACCATTGTTTTGTTACTTTGGTTCTGTACTCTAGCACTTTGAGTTTGAAAGGATACAATGAGAATGAGGGTGAAGTGCAGACTGTCAGCTTTAATTTGAGGGTATTTTCATACATATCGGATGAACCGTTTAGAAATGACAGCACCTTTTGTACATGGTCCCCCCATTTTAAGGTACTACAAGTATTTGTTAAATTGGCTTCACAGATGTGTCGTTAGGCAGATGTATTCATTTGTGTCGTTAGTGAATGCAGGAGAGCTGTTGATGAATAGTAATGATTCTAGACTTTGCTATTGCCTTTGGAGGTTGTTATTGGGGTGTGACAACATGAGGAAGACAGCAGTGTCGATGCAAATGAAGTTGGCTGTCATAAGGCTCAGAAATGAAAATCAATCATTCAGGAACATTGCAAAAACCCTGGCCATGCCCAAGTCAACAGTTTCGTTCATCATTAACAAGAAAAAAACAACCGGTGAACTCAATTATGTCAAAAGATCTGGTAGACCGAGGAAGACCACTGTAGTAGATGACCGGAGAATACTCTCTATGGTGAAGAAACCCCCCTGACAACAGCCCAACAGATCAAAAACACTCTCCTGGATGCAGGTGTAGATGTGTCAGTCTACCATACGTAGAAGACTACACCAGCAGGACTGCAGAGGGTACACTACAAGATGCAAACCACTGATAAGTCTGAAGAACAGAAAGGCGAGATTAGTTTGCTAAAAAGCACCTAAAAGAGCCCCAAGAGTTCTGGAAAAAAGTATTGTGGACAGATGAGACAAAGATTAACATGTACCAGAGTGATGGAAAGACAAAAGTGTGGAGAAAAAAAAGAAATGCCCATGATCCAAAGCATACCACCTCATCCGTGAAACATGGTGGAGGGGGTGTTATGGCTTGGGCCTGTATGGCTGCCAGTGGAACAGGCTCACTTGTCTTCATCGATGATGTGACTGCAGACAGAAGTAGAACAATGAATTCTGAAGTCTACAGAAATATTTTATCTGCTCAGATAAAACCAAATGCCTCCAAACTCATTGGACGGCACTTCATCATGCAACAAGACAATGACCCTAAACATACTGCTAGAGCAACAAAGGGGTTTTTGATGGCCAAAAAGTGGAAAATCCTTGACTGGCCGAGTCAATCACCGGATCTGAATCCAATTGAACATGCATTTTACATGCTGAAGAGGAGACTGAAGGCAATAAGTCCCCGAAACAAGCAAGAACTGAAGATGGCTGCAGTACAGGCCTGGCAGAGCATCACCAGGGAAGATACCCAGCGTCTGGTGATGGCGATGCATCGCAGACTTCAAGCAGTCATTGTATGCAAAGGATATGCGACCAAATATTAACAATGATTACTTTATTCTACATTATGTTAAACTGTCCAATGTTTTTTGATGCCCGAAAATGGGGGGGACCATGTACAAAAGCTTCTATAATTCCTAAACGGTTCATCCGATATGTATGAAAATACCCTCAAATTAAAGCTGACAGTCTGCACTTCACCCTCATTGTATCCTTTCAAACTCAAAGTGCTAGAGTACAGAACCAAAATAACAAAAAACTGGTCACTGTCCAGTGAATTATGGAGCTCACTGTACATGTTTGAGTGGTGTAAGATCTTGTGTATCAACTTACGACCAAAAGTTGGAAATAGTCCCTTCATCATTGTGCTGAGATATTGTTCGATGCCTGAACCTCCACTCAACTCCAAAACAAAACGTTTAGTTTTATAAATACTTTAATCTTAAAACAAAAACATTAAGATTCCAAAACAACTCAAGACAGCAACAAAACATTTCAACAGCTCTTCAAGAACAAATAAAACCAAGTTAACCAAACTTGAGGGAGTGGAGAATATGGGGAGTATGCAAGTGTGTGTGTGTGTGTATCTGTCAAAACAGTCAGGAAACATGGTCAAAGTAACAACTTGTAACACTGTATAAAAGGAGGGTTTGGGAGGAAAGTAGGAGGAGAAGGTGTGGAGAGGAGGAGGATGGAGAACTAGTCCCAGCTTGGAATGGCTTTGGCCTAGTAGGGCCTGTCTCTGCGGTCCTGTCTGTGTTCACCCCTACAACAGAAAGATATGTCACATTGTTAAAGGAGTTTAAAAAACCTGCAGTTTAAAGAAATAACAAAGGGAATTCCCCCCCCGCCACTGTTTTGATAAAAATCGAAGGGATGGGGCTGGAGAAATGTAATCACTCAAATTCACAGACTATGCTATGGACTGACCAATATTATCAACATTCTAGTTTTAACCATGTTTTACTGTGCTTGTTTACAATTACATTGTTATGATTTCTTTATTTAAGCAGGAGAACTCCAATTGAGACCAAGGTCTCTTTTGCAAGGCGGCCCTGCATTACAAAGCAGCAAGCAATACAAATGACACAATAAGGAGTTAGTGACACAATTACATCAAGGTAGGAGCACAGGAAACAAAAATAAAATAAAAACAAACCCCCCCCCCTCCTTTACTAATTAGTGACCTTAATTCATCAATCAGGTAAACCGGAGGAGCGAAAACCTGCAGACACTCAGCCCTCCGTGGAATGAGTGACAGGTGCACTAGTGTGTCCAATTGTAGGGTATTCTGAAATGTGTTGTGTGTGAGATGCGTAAAAACAATGGAGTGGCGTGTACTTGAGTGCGAGTCTGGTATTTGTATATGTTTGTTGTGTATGGACCAGAGTGTTTGTTCGCAAATACAAAAAGTATGTGGACACCTGCTCGTCGAACATCTCATTCCAAAATCACATGCATTCATATGGAGTTGGTCCCCCCTTTGCTGCTATAACAGCCTCCACTTCTGGGAAGGCTTTCCACTAGATGTTGGAATATTGGAGACTTGCTTCCATTCAGCTACAAGAGCATTAGTGAGGTCGGGCACTGATGTTGGGCGATTAGGCCTGGCTCGCAGTCGGCGTTCCAATTCATCCCAAAGGTGTTCGATGGGGTTGAGATCAGGGCTCTATGCAGGCCAGTCAAGTTCTTCCACACCGATCTCGACAAACCATTTCTGTATGGACCTCGCTTTGTGCACGGGGACATTGTCATGTTAAAACAGGAAAAGGCCTTCCCCAAACTGTTGCCACAAAGTTGGAAGCACAGAATCATCAAGAATGTCATTGTATACTGAGCGTTAAGATTTCCCTTCACGGGAACTAAGAGGCCTAGAGCAAACCATGAAAAACAGCTGCAGATATTATTCCTCCTCCACCAAACTTTACAGTTGGCACTATGCATTGGGGCAGGTAGCGTTCTCCTGGCACCTGCCAAACCCAGATTTGTCCGTCGGACTGCCAGATGGTGAAGCGTGGTTCATCACTCCAGAGAACGCGTTTCCACTGCTCCAGAGTCCAATGGCGCGAGCTTTACACCATTCCAGCCGACACTTGGCATTGCGCATGGTGATCTTAGGCTTGTGTACGGCTGCTCGGCCATGGAAACCCATTTCATTAAGCTCGCAACAAACAGTTATTGTGCTGACTTTGCATCCGGAGGCAGTTCGGAACTTGGTAGTGAGTGTTGCAACCGAGGACAGACCATTTTTTACACGCTTCAGCACTCGGCGGACCTGTTCTGTGAGCTTGTGTGGCCTACCACTTCGCTACCACAACGTTTCCACTTCACAATAACAGTTGACCGGGGCAGATCTAGCAGGGCAGAAATTTGACCAACTGACTTGTTGGAAAGGTGGCATCCTATGACGGTGCCACATTGAAAGTCACTGAGCTCTTCAGTAAGGCCATTATACTGCCAATGTTAGGCTATGGAGATTGCATGGCTGTGTGCTCGATTTTATAGACCTGTCAGCAAAGGGTGTGGCTGAAATAGCCGAATCCACTAATTTGAAGGGGTGTCCACATACTTTTGTATATATTAATAAGTCATAGTGTGGTACAATCTTGGGACACGTGCACCTGCTTACCTTCCATCCATCTTGCCCGGTCCGAATCCACCCCGGTCGCCTCCGGGTCCGCCTCGGAACCCACCTCTGTCACCCCCTCGGCCCCGGAATCCCCCGCGGTCAAAACCCCCACGACCCCCTCTGTCTCCACCGAAACCTCCTGACAGACAGAAATACAGAGAGAGATACAGAGAGGGACAGAAAAAAAAGGAGGAAATGTCATTAAAACAAGTTAACATAGAGCTACGGGCTGCATCCAGTTTCATTGTGCCCTTGGCCACTAGGCTAACAGCCTAGTATAAAAGGCAGTCTCCACCTCACCCATTAGTCTTTGTTAGCACATAAGCTAATAATTATCTGTACACAGACTTCCTGTAGCCATTAGGCTGCTCCCTTTGTGTGAGCGTGTATCAGTCGAGTTAGCAACAAAGCTGCCTCTGAGCAGTAGTCAGCCACTGAGCTAAAAAACTAGGCTAAAATGCTAGACTAAAACATTAGGCTGAAGTCTAAAAGCAGAACATTGGTTTCAGACTTACTGCCTCCATCCATAGGAGACATGCCACCGTCGGCCCCCTCTGGTTTGGGGGATTTGCACTGGTTACACTCGTTCCTCCACGAAAAGTTCATGTTCCCACACACCCTGAAAGGAAAGAGACAGAGAATCTCAGACACACCATAATAACTAGCGGCTCACCCCAATCCTCACCCCCAAAATATACACCTCCTCCCTGACTTACGGGTTGGAACACTTCCAGTCTCCAGCTCTCTGCTGTCCTCCATTGCCACGGCCACCGTTGTCGCCAGAGAAACCACCACCACCTCTACCGCCTCCGAACCCGCCACGACCCATCGGCCCTACAGAGACAAAGAGTTAGAATATACAGGACAGGTACAATCATACTTACAGTTGAAGTCGGAAGTTTACATACACTTAGGTTGGAGTAATTAAAACTCGTTTTTCAACCACTCCGCAAATTTCTTGTTAACAAACTATAGTTTTGGCAAGTCAGTTAGGACATCTACTTTGTGCATGACACAAGTAAATTTTCCATCAATTGTTTACAGACAGATTATTTCACTTATAATTCACTGTATCACAATTCCAGTGGGCCAGAAGTTTACATACACTAAGTTGACTGTGCCTATTTTGTGAAAAAAAGAAAAAAAAAAAAAAGAAAAAAAAAGTTGCCTGTGCCTTTAAACAGCTTGGAAAATTCCAGAAAATGATGTCATGACTTTAGAAGCTTCTGATAGGCTAATTGACATCATTTGAGTCAATTGGAGGTGTACCCGTGGATGTATTTCAAGGCCTACCTTCAAACTCAGTGCCTCTTTGCTTGACATCATGGGAAAATCAAAAGAAATCAGCCAAGACCTCAGAAACAAAATTGTAGACCTCCACAAGTCTGGTTCATCCTTGGGAGCAATTTCCAAACAACCTGAAGGTACCACGTTCAACAATAGTACGCAAGTAAACACACCATGGGACCACGCAGCTGTCATACCACTCAGGAAGGAGACGCGTTCTGTCTCCTAGAGATGAACGTACTTAGGTGCGAAAAGTGCAAATCAATCCCAGAACAACAGCAAAGGACCTTGTGAAGATGCTGCAGGAAACAGGTACAAAAGTATCTATATCCACAGTTAAACGAGTCCTATATCGACATAACCTGAAAGGCCGCTCAGCAAGGAAGAAGCCACTGCTCCAAAACCGCCATTAAAAAGCCCGACTACGGTTTGCAACTGCACATGGGGACAAAGATCGTACTTTTTGGAGAAATGTCCTCTGGTCTGATGAAACAGAAATAGAACTGTTTGGCCATAATGACCATTGTTATGTTTGGAGGAAAAAGGGGGGGTACTTGCAAGCCGAAGAACACCATCCCGACCGTGAAGCACGGGGGTGGCAGCATCATGCTGTGGGAGTGCTTTGCTGCAGGTGGGACTGGTGCACTTCACAAAATAGATGGCACCATGAGGAAGGAAAATTATGTGGATATATTGAAGCAACATCTCAAGACATCAGTCAGGAAGTTAAAGCTTGGTCGCAAATGGGTCTTCCAAATGGACAATGACCACAAGTATACTTCCAAAGTTGTGGCAAAATGGCTTAAGGACAACAAAGTCAAGGTATTGGAGTGGCCAACACAAAGCCCTGACCTCAATCCTATAGAACATTTGTGGGAAGAACTGAAAAAGCGTGTGCGAGCAAGGAGGCCTACAACCCTGACTCCGTTACACCAGCTCTGTGAAGAGGAATGGGCCAAAATTCACCCAACTTATTGTGGGAAGCTTGAAGGAAGGCTACCCGAAACGTTTGACCCAAGTTAAACAATTTAAAGGCAATGCTACCAAATACTAATTGAGTGTATGTAAACTTCTGACCCACTGGGCATGTGATGAAAGAAATAAAAGCTGAAATAAATCACTCTACTATTATTCTGACATTTCACATTCTTAAAATAAAGTGGTGATCCTAACTGACCTAAGACAGGGAATTTTTACTAGGATTAAATGTCAGGAATTGTGAAAAACTGAGTTTAAATGTATTTGGCTATGGTGTATATAAACTTCCGACTTCAACTGTAGCTCTCGAGAACCCAAGGGGGGTATACCCAGCCCTTGAGTTCTCAACTGAAGGTACGGACCACAGCTGCGTCAATTAACTACAATCCCGACGCTCTGTTTTAACATTTAGAACTTTATTAATCCTCGCTAGCGATACGGTTTTGGAAACCTTTGAAATGTAACTTTCATATAAGCGAGAAAGAATCAAAAGATACACGTACTGTGCGCAGTTTAGCAAAGTTGCACCAGGCTGTTTTCACACACCGCCTCAGCTACGACATTGTCTTACCTTGCGCTCGCATTTCCATTGGACCATTCCATTCCACATTTCCTGCTGGATCGCATGTGTTTCTCAAAATACAGCAGGGTGCAACTTTCCTAAACTGAATACAGTAAGTGTATATTTTGTGTGTGTGAGGAGCAAGCAGTTTGCTGGAACAGTTCCCTTTCAATTCAATCAATTTACGAAATTCTAATTAAAGAATCGGAAAATCCTAAATTCATATTCTACCTTAACTGAAATGAAGTGGAATTGACTCCAACTCAATTGACCCAACCCTATAATGACCAACTCACCACCAAACTCTGCCTCACCTCCTCGTCCTCGGCCACCTCTCATGCCGCCACCCCCACCCCGGCCTACTCCGAAATCCGCCCTGCGGGTCGCAAAGGACACCTTGATGGGGTTCCCTTTGAAGTCCTTCCCTGCAATGGAGAAAACAATATAATATGATATAAAACACAAATATGAAGGTCAACAAGTGAAAATCAGTGACTACCTATTCTCCTCAGTGACTAAAAGATTAAACAAACCCATTAGACAAATAAAATGCTCAGAGACTACACTTAAAGTTATAGAAAATAATTCAAATGGAGAAATGTAATGTTGTACGTTTCAGTAAAATATTGTATCCCTCCCCCAATTTTTTTAAAATTAAAAACAGAAGTTTCTCCTCAGGTAATCCCCTCACCATCAAACCAGTCGATGGCAGCTTTGGCAGAAGGGGGGTCGTCAAAGGACACGGTGGCCTCGCCCTTCAGCTTCCCTGTCTCTCTGTCTGTATACAGGTTGATCATGGGAAGACCAGTCTTCTTATTGATCTGACAGATGGAGAAAGGGAGGGAGAGTGTGACAAAGAGAGAGAGAGGGAGAGGGGGAGAGAACGAGTAGAAAACGAGAGATGGAATGAGAAAAAAAGCAACATTAAGATACAGAAGGAAAAATGCATTAGATGTAAGCATTGCATAGGTAAACACAATGGCAGTAGCCTACCACTCAAAACATAGCCTGTAAGTAATCTATAGCAAAGCCTCAGGAAAAGATGCCACCCCATGCACCAAAGTCAAGGCAGTGATGGCTGTGGCAGGTATAATTCAATGGAGGGAGTTGTTAAGGGAGTTAAATAATTAAATAAGTAGGTAGGTAGGCAGGTCGGTACCTTGATGATGCCTATCTGCTTGAAGAAGTCAGCCACAGAATCAACGGTGTAGCCGTCTCCCATGCCTTGCACGAAGATCGTGTTGTTGTCAGAGTTATCCTGATCTTCCACTGTAGGGAGGTGGTCAGGTCAGCATAGGGTTAATACACAGTGATAGTTACAGTCGGAATTTTACATACACCTTAGCCAAATACATTTAAACTCAGTTTTTCACAATCCTGACATTTTATCCTAGTACAAATTCCCTGTCTTAGGTCAGTTAGGATCCCCACTTTATTTTAAGAATGTGAAATGTCAGAATAATAGTAGAGTGATTTATTTCAGCTTTTATTTCTTTCATCACATGCCCAGTGGGTCAGAAGTTTACATACACTCAATTAGTATTTGGTAGCATTGCCTTTAAATTGTTTAACTTGGGTCAAACGTTTCAGGTAGCCTTCCACAAGCTTCCCACAAGAAGTTGGGTGAATTTTGGCCCATTCCTCCTGACAGAGCTGGTGTAACTGAGTCAGGTTTGTAGGCCTCCTTGCTCGCACACACTTTTCAGTTCTGTCCACACATTTTCTATAGGATTGAGGTCGGGGCTTTGTGATGGCCACTCCAATAACTTGACTTTGTTGTCCTTAAGCCATTTTTCCACAACTTTGGAAGTATGCTTGAGGTCATTGTCCATTTGTAAGACCCATTTGCGACCAAGCTTTAACTTCCTGACTGATGTCTTGAGATGTTGCTTCAATATATCCACATAATTTTCACATTAATTTTTTTATGATGCCATCTATTTTGTGAAGTGCACCAGTCCCTCCTGCAGCAAAGCACCCCCACAGAATGATGCTGCCACCCCCGTGCTTCACGGTCGGGATGGTGTTCTTTGGCTAGCAAGCTACCCCCTTTTTCCTCCAAACATAACAATGGTCATTATGGCCAAACAGTTCTATTTTTGTTTCATCAGACCAGAGGACATTTCTCCAAAAAGTACGATCTTTGTCCCCATGTGCAGTTGCAAACCGTAGTCTGTTTTTTTTAAATGGCGGTTTTGGAGCAGTGGCTTCTTCCTTGCTGAGCGGCCTTTCAGGTTATGTCGATATAGGACTCGTTTTACTGTGGATATAGATACTTTTGTACCTGTTTCCTCCAGCATCTTCACAAGGTCCTTTGCTGTTGTTCTGGGATTGATTAGCACTTTTCGCACCAAAGTACGTTCATCTCTAGGAGACAGAACGCGTCTCCTTCCTGAGCGGTATGACGGCTGCGTGGTCCCATGGTGTTTATACTTGCGTACTATTGTTTGTACAGATGAACGTGGTACCTTCAGGCGTTTGGAAATTGCTCCCAAGGATGAACCAAACTTGTGGAGGTCTACAATTTTTTTTCTGAGGTCTTTGCTGATTTCTTTTGATTTTCCCATGATGTCAAGCAAAGAGGCACTGAGATTGAAATACATCCACAGGTACACCTCGAATTGACTCAAATTATGTAAATTAGCCTATCAGAAGCTTCTAATGCCATGACATCATTTTCAGGAATTTTCCAAGCTGTTTAAAGGCACAGTCAACTTAAACTTCTGACCCACTGGTATTGTGATACAGTGAATTATAAGTGAAATAATCTGTCTGTAAACAATTGTTGGAAAACTTACTTGTGTCATGCACAAAGTAGATGTCCTAACCGACTTGCCAAAACTATAGTTTGTTAACCAAAAATGTGTGGAGTGGTTGAAAAACGAGTTTTAATGACTCCAACCTAAGTGTATGTAAACTTCCGACTTCAACTGTACATTCATTCATTATGTAAGGTGGTTCTGATCTATATCCCAGAAAATACATACTTCTTAACAGAATTAATATACACAATTTGTAGAGGTAGGAGCAGATCAGAAAAGCAAAGAAAAGCAGGATGCATACTGCTGCTGATCTAGAGCAATATAGTGACACAAACTAATGAACTTAATAACATGATGGCAAGAAATGTAATCAGTTCTAATTGTAGCACTATGAACTGTCAGAGGTCCGTACTTACTGGAGCTGGGCCCACCAGGTCCCTGGTCTCTTGGTCCTTCAGGAAGAAAAATGACATAATTACGTTTTTTAAGTGGACACTGCTTGCGCTGCCACACATACTACTACTCTAGAGTCCCACAACCTTTGCACAACTACGCATTCTTTCGATTCTCATATCCCTACAAAACCGCTCACAAAAAACACACCGACTGGTATACCGTTCTACATGCCTTTTGGGTAGTGTGTATAGTTTATACCTGACATGGACCATTACAGTGTATACCCGACATGGACCAGACTCCAGATTTGAGACACTATTGAAGTGAAATAATGACCCATGACATCCATAGAGTACGTTGTACAACCTTCCTATCACTTTATCAGATGTGTTACAAATAGAATCCATTTCCTGTTTTTTCCTCACCATTATCAAATAAAACCTTTCATTGCACTTTATCACACGTTTTCATTGATAATCCATCCGTTCCACATGTACCAACCAGCATTACTAGGAATTAATGCATTTAACACAAGGGACCGACGAGATCTTTGAACCCAGTGGTCGATACGACCAAGGAACCTCCACCATTTTACTGAGTTACAGTTCATTTAAGGAAATAAGTCAATTGAAATAAATTAGATTAGGCCCTAATCTATGGATTTCACATGACGGAATACAGATATGCATCTGTTGGTCACAGATACCCTATAGTACGTGGACACCTTCAAATTAGTGGATTTGGCTATTCCAGTCACACCCGTTGCTGACAGGTGTATAAAATGTAGCACACAGCCATGCAATCTCCATAGACAAACATCGGCAGTAGAATGGCCTTACTGAAGAGCTCAGTGACTTTCAACGTGGCACCGTCATAGGATGCCACCTTTCCACCTAGTCAGTACGTCAAATTTCTGCCCTGCTAGAGCTGCCCCGGTCAACTGTAAGTGCTGTTAGTGTGAAGCGGAAACGTCTAGGAGCAACAACGGCTCTGCAGCGAAGTGGTAGGCCACACAAGCTCACAGAACGGGACCATCGAGTGCTGAAGCGCATAAAAATTATCTGTCCTCGGTTGCAACACTCACTACCGAGTTCCAAACTGCCTCTGGAATCAAAGTCAGCACACAAGCCTAAGATCGCCATGCGCAATGCCAAGCGTTGGCTGTAATGGTGTAAAGCTCGCCACCATTGGACTCTGGAGCAGTGGAAATGGGTTCTCTGGAGTAATGAATCACGCTTCACCATCTGGCAGTCTGACGGACAAATCTGGGCTTGGCGGATGCCAGGACAACGCTACCTGGCCCAATGCATAGTGCCAACTGTAAAGTTTGGTGGAGGAGGAATAATGGTTTGGGGCTGTTTTTCATGGTTTGGGCTAGACCCCTTCGTTCCAGTGAAGGGAAATCTTAATGCTACAGCATACAATGACATTCTAGACGATTCTGTGCTTTGTGGCAACAGTTTGGAGAAGGCCCTTTCCTGTTTCAGCATGACAATGCCCCCATGCACAAAGCGAGGTCCATACAGAAATGGTTTGTTGATCGGCGTGGAAGAACTTGACTGTCCTGCACAGAGCCCTGACCTCAACCCCATCTAAAACATTTGGGATGAATTGGAACGCCAACTGCGAGCCAGGCCAAATCGCCCAACAGTGCCCGACCTCACTACAGCTTGTGGCTGAATGGAAGGAAGTCCCCGCAGCATAGTTCCAACATCTAGTGGAAAGCCTTCCCAGAAGAGTGGAGGCTGTTATAGCAGCAGGGGGGGGGAGGGGGGGGGGGGGGTCATGTACTGTACCTTTAAATAAATAAAAAAGGGGTGTGGATCAGAAAACCAGTCAGTATCTGGTGTGACCACGATTTACCCCATAGAGCGTGACACATCTCCTTTGCATAGAGTTGATCAGGCTGTTGATTGTGGGCTGTGGAATGATGTCCCACTCCTCTTCAATGGCTATGCGAAGTTGCTGGATATTGGTGGGAACTGAAACACTCCATCGTATACAGCGATCCAGAGCATCCCAAACATGCTCATTGGGTCACATGTCTGGTGAGTATGCAGGCCATGGAAGAACTGGGACATTTACAGCTTTTCAGGAATTGTGTACAGATCCTTGCGACATGGGGCTGTGCATTATGCTGAAACATGAGGTGATGGCAGCGGATGAATGGCACGACAATGGGCCTCAGGATCTCGTCACGTATCTCTGGGCATTCAAATTGCCATCGATAAAATGAAATTGTGTTTGTTGTCCGTAGCTTGTGCCTGCCTGCCCATACCATAACCCCACCATGGGGCACTCCGTTCACAACGTTCACATCAGCAAACCGCTTGCCCACACAACGCCATAAGGAACAGTTGAAAACCGGGATTCATCTGTGAAGAGCACACTTTCTCCAGCATGCCAGTGGCCGTTAAAGGTGAGCATTTGCCACTGAAGTCAGTTACGACACTGAACTGCAGTCAGGTCAAGACCCTGGTGAGGACGACGGGCATGCAGATGAGCTTCCCGAGACGGTTTCTGCCAATTTGTGCAGAACTTCTTTGGTTGTGCAAACCCACAGTTTAATCAGCTGTCTGGGTGGCTGGTCTCAGACCATCTCGCAGGTGAAGAAGCCGGATGTGGAGGTCCTGGTCTGGTGTGGTTACACGTGGTGTGCAGATGTGAGGCCGGTTGGATGTAATGCCAAATTCTCTAAAATGATGTTGGAGGTGGCATATGGTAGTGAAATGAACATTAAATTCTCTCGCAACAGCTCTTCTGGACATTCCTGCAGTCAGCATGCCAATTGCATGCTCCCTCAACTTGAGACTGCTGTGGGATTGTGTTGTGTGACAAAACTGCACATTTTAGAGAGGCCTTTTACTGTCCCTAGCACAAGGTGCACCTGTGTAATGATCATGCTGTTTAAATCAGCTTTTTGAAATGCCACACTTATAGGGATGTAAACAAATGTGCGCACAAAATGAGACAAATAAGCTTTTTATGCGTATGGAAAATGTAGGGGATCTTTTATTTCAGCTCATGAAACATGGGACCAACACTTTATATTTTTGTTCAGTATACTTTACTCACAAAGTCCAACTCTTTTACCATGCAGTTGTGTTGCCGCTATTGATTTACCCACACGGTGGCTACTTTCAGAACCTGTACTCTTACTTTGTGGCCAAGATAACCAACTTTGCTCATTGTACAACATTTCTGAGAACAAGATTTGACTTGTATGTTGATTTCACTGTTTTCATCTCATGTGTAGAGAACAATAAGGAGAGTGTGGATCAATTGGCGCCTTTTCCTAGACCATGTTTCTATGTGCATAATAGCAAAGTTAACCAGCATATTGGTGTTGAGAACAATGCGGCAGAGGCAAGAGTTAGGAGACGAGAACAGCCCTTACCTTAATTGGATAAGAAAAGTGAGGAGAGTTAACCCCAACCTAATTAGGTCTATAATCAATAGCCTAACTGTTAAATGTGCCTGGCTTTATAAATCATCCATATACACTACCAGTCAAAAGTTTGGACACACTTACTCATTCAAGGGTTTTTCTTTAAACTATTTTCTAAATTGTAGAATAATAGTGAAGATATCAAAACTATGAAATAACACATATGGAACCATGTAGTAACCAAAACAAAAGTGTTATACAAATCAAAATATATTTTATATACCACCCTTTGCCTTGATGATAGCTTTGCACACTCTTGGCATTCTCTCAACCAGCTTCACCTGGAATGCTTTTCCAACAGTCTTGAAGGAGTTCCCACATATGCTGAGCACTTGTTGGCTGCTTTTCCTTCACTCTGCAGTCCAACTCATCCCAAACCATCTCAATTGGGTTGCGGTCAGGGGATTGTGGAGGCCAGGTCATCTGATGCAGCACTCCATCACTCTCCTTCTTGGCCAAATCGCCCTTATACAGCCTGGAGGTGTGTTGGGTCATTGTCCTGTTGAAAAACACGATTATCCCACTAAGCCCAAACCAGATGGGATGGCGTATCGCTGCAGAATGCTGTGGTAGCCATGCTTGTTAAGTGTGCCTTGAATTCTAAATAAATCACAGACAGTGTCACCAGCAAAGCACCCCCACACCATAACACCTCCTCTTCGCTTAACGGTGGGAACTACACACGCGGAGATCATCCATTCACCCACACCGCGTCTCAAATCTCAAATTTGGACTCCAGACCAAAGGACTGATTTCCACCGGTCTAATGTCCATTGCTCGTGTTTCTTGGCCCAAGCAAGTCTCTTTTTCTTAATGGTGTCCTTTAGTAGTGGTTTATTTGCAGCAATTCGACCATAAAGGCCTGATTCACGCAGTCTCCTCTCAACAGTTGATGTTGAGATGTGTCTGTTACTTGAACTCTGTGAAGCATTTATTTGGCCTGCAATTTCTGAGGCTGGTAACTCTAATGAACTTATCCTCTGCAGCAGAGGTAGCTCTGGGTCTTCCTTTCCTGTGGAGGTCCTCATGAGATTGAGTTTCATCATAGCGCTTGAAGAAACTCTCAAAGTTCTTCACATTTTCCAGATTGACTGACCTTCATGGCTTAAAGTAATGATGGACTGTCATTTTTCTTTGCTTATTTGAGCTGTTCTTGCCATAATATGGACTTGGTCTTTTACCGAATAGGGCTATCTTCTGTATTACACCCCCCAAACTTTTGACTGGTACTGTATATCTACCTACCTATTTATCGTATACATTTTTTTTTTGGGGGGGGGACCAAGAATTCATCATGCTTTAGTCCCGTTTCAAATATTCTGCTGAACTACGTCAACACAAACAACTGAGGACATTCACAGAAAACAAGGCCTCGCCAAGAGTTTAACATTACTTTTTGATAGTGTATGGATCCCACCTCTGACATATCAGCATGACATATCACATGCAACACAACCATTAGGAAAATACCATGACTGCATTCATTATTTCCTTCCAGTAATGTCTTAACACTTCCTTTACCAGTTTGAGAAAATACTTTCCCCTGGAGCACTGATTGCCACATAAACAGGTATCTGGTACAAGAACAGTTTGTACATTGAACCAACAAACACTTCCTCATTTCTTTAGTCGACCACACCAGTTACAAGATGAGGAGTCATTAGTGCACCCTTGCAACACCACAATAACCCTTTAGTGTTTTGTCCACTCCCGTTCACTACCTATCTGGGAGAAAACAGTTTTTTCCTCATACATATTTCCCCATTCTGTTCCCTTCCCTCCGATCGATGCCGTTACGTAACCAGAGTAAGGGTTCAGTATTTTCTTTAGTTACATACTGTAAGTTTACACAGGACAGGTGATACATGAATCTGTCTATGCTTGACTTTTGACTTCCATTGTCAAAGGAGGAATGACTAACATACAAACCACACTGGCTATGTTGCGTGTGCAAGCATTGCAAAATAAATGTACATATACATGTTATTCAATAATTTCGCACGTGAACGAGTCTGCGTAGCCAAGCGCTAAAATAGAACTTGGTTCTATTTGAGACACTTACATTTACGTCATTTAGCAGACGCTCTTATCCAGAGCGACTTACAGGAGCAATTAGGGTTAAGTGCCTTGCTCAAGGGCACATCGACAGATTTTTCACCTAGTTGGCTCGGGGATTAGAACCAGCGACCTTTCGGTTACTGGCACAACGCTCTTAACCACTAAGCTACCTGCCACTTCACATGGTGCAAGTCCCTTCCTTACAGGAAGATACAAACCCACGTGGACGCTTGAAAAGACAAAACGAGGAGAGATTCATTAAAGATGAAGAAAAAAAACTAACTAGGTTTCCGTTTTTATCTGTGGATAAACTGTCAGAGTAGAGGAACACACAATTTTGTATGACCCTGGGTCAAAATTTGACAAAGAACCAGCTAAAAAGAGGACCATATGCATGTCAGATAAAATAACCTAATGTCCATGAATGTTTCATGCATGTTTCGACCTGCCCCAAAATTAATATAGATGGTTCACTGTTGGTTTTGACATTTTAACCTGCATGTCATTATCGCGTCTGGTGTGGATGGCGCCGGTGTAGTCAGCATGTAAGCACAAGATGGTAACTAAAAAACCACCATTGAAGACTTTACCATCATCAGTACTTCTACCCATGATTACCCATGATTTTTGAAGTGGACTGTCTGGGCAGTAAACTTCAACAGCATTTAGAAATCAGAAGGTGCAGAGCCAAATTCCTCACACCAACAAGACAACAGTGGGAGTGGAGAAGGAAAGGGAGAAACATGACCCCTACGTCAGTTGCTTTCCTTAGAGTTCACCCTGAAATTTGATGTCGTCACAGATACTGCAGATTATTGTGAGGATATAACTTAGATAATTTTTTTCAGCAACACTTGACACCGTTGTGACGTCTGTAACAGCCCTGACCATTTATCTGGGCACAACTCCTCTTTTGTCAAAATCTTCTCAAGCAAGTAGAAATACCTTATTTGACGGGGGGGGGCAACATCCATTGTTGAGATTCAATCAGCCCGGTAGTCACATTAAAACTTTGACACTTAGAAAAACATTCCGTCTCAACTCAAATAATCTTAGAGCCCAGTGACTCAAATTCAGAGGATTAAAGCAAGATAACTTCAAATCAACAGAGATTGAAGTTACTGTACAGCTCCCTCTGCTGCTAAGGATTTTGGAGTGCAGTGTAAACGCTATCCTACGCAGTACCAAACACGACAGTGACATTTCTGATATGGAACATTCACACTGATTATTCTTACCTGTTGAGGTGACAACATGCAGTACATACATAATCTGCAACATAGCATATTGAGGTGTTGTAGATGTATTACATATGAAAAAAACAAGACAACTAAGATATAATATTATACCAATAGCAGGTTTTTATCCAAGGCGACATACTCTGGAGCTACATTAAAGCATGGCGTCAGCGTCATTTTGCCTGAGTACTTAAGTTGCTACATACACGCACTCAGACAGCAATACAGTCAATGAAAATCAGCTCACATGGATGCAAAATCTAAATTTGAAAGGACAAATCAAGTGTGCGTAAGTACAAGCACCCACAGTCTTGACAAATATAACAATCAGCTCCAAATCACAAAAGATGAAAAGCTGAGTCATCGCTGAAAAGGGGTACGCCTCGAGGTTGCATATAGGAAAGTGAAAAATATAACAAAAAACGTATAATTTAACTAATTCCTTTGTAGCCCATTTAATAATTTGAATTTACAACAACTGAAAAAGCATCAAGTAAATGAAGAAAGCAAGACTTCCGGGAACGCAGGCGAAACAGACCAAGCAGACCAAGCTGGGGTTTGAGAAAATTCTTCCTTAGTTGTTATTTTCTCGAAATCTAAAAGGCACAACCTAGATTAGAGCCAATGTCTTAAGTAATTGAACATGTTATTACTTCAACCTCGTGAAAGTGACAAACACACTTTAATTTGAAGAAAAAAAAAAAAACGTTATAATCGAAGGAGTGGATTCGGCTATTTCAGCCACACCCGTCGCTGACAGGTGTATAAAATCGAGCACACACCATGCAATCTCTATAGACAAACATTGGCAGTAGAATGACCTTACTGAAGAGCTCAGTGACTTTCAACGTGGCATCGTCATAGGATGCAACCTTGCCAACAAGTCAGTTCGTCAAATTTCTGCCCTGCTAGAGCTGCCCCGGTCAACTGTAAGTGCTGTTATTGTGATGTGGAAACATCTAGGAGCAACAACGGCTCAGCCACGAAGTGGTAGGCCAAACAAGCTCACAGAACGAGACCGCCGAGAGCTGAAGCGCATAGTGCGTAAAAAATCATCTGTCCTCAGTTGCAACACTCACTACCGAGTTCCAAACTGCCTCTGGAAGCAACGTCAGCACAAGAACTGTTAGTCGGGAGCTTCATGAAATGGGTCTCCACGGCCTAGCAGCAGCACACAAGCCTAAGATCACCATGTGCAATGCCAAGCGTCGGCTGGAGTGGTGTAAAGCTCGCCGCCATTGGACTCTGGAGCAGTGGAAATGCGTTCTCTGAAGTGATGAATCACGCTTCACCATGTGGAAGTCCGACAGACGAATCTGGGTTTGGCGGATGCCAGGAGATCGCTACCTGCCCCAATGCATGGTGCCAATTGTAAAGTTTTGTGGAGGAGGAATAATGGTCTAGGGCTGTTTTTCATGGTTTGGGCTAGGCCCCTAGTTCCAGTGAAGGGAAATCTTAATGACATTCTAAAGGATTCTGTGCTTCGAATTTTGTGGCTACAGTTTGGGGAAGGCCCTTTCATGTTTCAGCATGACAATCCCCCCATGCACAACGCGAAGTCCATACAGAAATGGTTTGTCAAGATCGGTGTGGAAGAACTTGACTGGCCTGCACTGAGCCCTGACCTCAACCCCATCGAACACCTTTGGGATGAATTGGAACGGCGAATGTGAGCCAGGCCTAATCGCCTAACATCAGTGCCCGACCTCACTAATGGTCGAGGCTGAATGGAAGCAAGTCAGCGCCGCAATGTTCCAACATCTAGTGGAAAACCTTCCCAGAAGAGTGGGGGCTGTTATAGCAGCAAAGGGGGGACCAACTCCATATTACTGCCCATGATTATGGAATGAGATGTTCGACGAGCAGGTGTCCACATACTTTTGGTCATGTAGTGTATGTCATGTTTCCACCAATGATAATAGGTTTCTATGGCTCGAGCATCAGCAGTAGAAAATAAAACCCAGCGTATTTTTTCAGCTCGATGCTGGGGGACAACGCAACGCCAGGAATGTGGCTGCTTCCATTTATTACGACGAGATCAATTATCCCGCCTCTCCAGCGTCAACGCGACGCTGAACACTTGACGCCCCAATGTAGCTCCAGCCCTACAGTCATGCGTGCTTACGTTTATTGTATGGGTGTGGGCCCTGCGGGAATCAAACCACACAATCCTAGTGTTACAAGCGCAGTGCTCTATCAACTGAGCAAAACAGGACCAAGAATAATGAAGACCTTAAATCCTAATTACGTTTGACTTTTCTATCATGCCCCCTTTTTCACCTCAATATGCTATGCTTTCTTTTTAGTCTACCCATAACTCCTGAATGTACGTTTTGTTTCTAAGATAAAATCATGACCAATCTTTCCTTGTTGGTTAACTTTGTATGATACTTCCCATATTGGTTGTTCTTCCGACATCAATTCCCTCTTCCCACGATCAAAAAAACATCACATAATAGTTTTAATGTCCGGGGCCAGTTTCTTTTTTGGGCCAATAATCTAAACCTTTTATATCTTGTTTTTCCCCCTCCCTTTAAGCTTGACTCTTTAAACCCACCAAATCTCTTATTTAAAGAGTTTTGTCACTTACCACCAAACTTATTGAATCCTCCACGATCGCCCATTCTGATGAGGAGAGAAAAGCGACACGCATTGAAGGCTGGTGTGGATGGAGCCAAATTTCTCTCAAGAGGGGGTTTCCACCCCCTTTTTACCCCATCCCCTCTTTACTCTCTTTCACCTCTCTTACTTTGTTCACCCCCTATCTCTTCTTTGGAACCACCCTAGGATGTGTCCCTTCTCCTTGACAACTGAGGATGGTCGGAGGTCAGTTTTGATGACCTTGTCTGTTTGGTACGCTAGTCCTCAGACCTTCGCATCTTGTTTGCAAGTGGGTTTTAATCCGAAGATCAAAATTGTCAACAGTCACTTCTCCTTGCTTTGTACAAGAGATCATTTAACACTCCTTTTGCATTGATCTCTGAAACCAACTCAGACCAAATGTTCTTATTTCCTGGAACTGCTGTGTTGTGTTGTACACAGTTCTATAACACTGCAAGAACAGCTGCGGAATTCAAGTACACATAAATTAAGCACCTACAGAAAGGAGTTTAATGAAACCTTCCTTGATATGTTCTATATAGGTGACCGTCTTGAGACTTTGACATTGTCTGAAGAGCACACTTCCTAGGTAGGTCTTTGACATCCTTTCTAACTGATCAGTCAGTCCATGTTGCACTTGCAACTCTTATTCTTTAACCCCTGCCTATAGTCTTCTCAGTGAATGTCTCCTGCCTGTCCTTCCTTCTTTCTACCATTCCCCCTTTCCTCAAGAGAAAAAACCTAAATGAGAAACAGAAGCCCACCATGGAGAGGTGAGAGCCTAGGAGGAGATTCAGAGATTTATTAAAGCATCATATCACACAGTAAAGGGTGGGTGGGAAAGTGGTGTTATAGAGGTGAAGAGGAGGGTGGAGTGGGGTGGATGACAAGGTCATGTGGTGTGTTTGTGTGTGGACAGTGTCAGTGTGCACATAAAGGTTTGCCAGTAAGACCCTTCAAATAGTTCACTAAGATAAATAAATCGTCACACGGCTGCAAATGTAAGCAGAGGATAACTCTTGATGAAATGTGATAATGGCTACAGTGCTTTAGCTAAGAAAAACAGGGGTGGATGAGTGCCAGAATCTAACATGTGCTACCTTTGTATTCTGGATCTTTCAAAGTCACTCAAGGCACTTCAGGGATTTCATTTCCGCCATGGCAAGGTGAGCATAAAAAAAAAAAGCCTGCTATATTGCATAATACATTTAGTAGATGGGAAGCAAACAAATAAAAAGTTCAAGGCTACTAGGTCTGATTAGTGAGCGATAGACAAGGCAGTTTGAATAGACACTCACAACAGAGACCTGTAAGGATTTGGTTTTGCGTTGTCACAACCAGTCTAATCTGAATCTCTTGCTTATTGGTAACATTTCAGCAACGTAGCATGTTTAAAGTTAAAATGGATGACGTTTAGCAGCATTTAGCTTTTAAAGAACCACACAACTGTTACTATGGGTCAGTTGCACAGCTAGGTAGTTAATGCTAGTAGGATTCTGCTTACTTCATCACAGTGGCTTTGGTGATGCTGTATTTGCACACAAGCAACCACAAACACAAATGTGCACTTTACACAGCATTTTTCCTATAGCCATGGATTGCGTTTGCTTGTGTGAGTGAGCATGGGCAGTTGTCAGTGTGAAAGTGCACAACGCTAGTATGAGACTCAGTTCAGGTTCCATAGATAACAGGCAGCGAGGAGAACATGGGGACTGAAGTAATTACTTAACAACCAAATAACTGGGAGAACCTAAGACCGATGTCTATCACATTCAAAAACTTCCTTCGCAAACAACCCCTAAAACCAGCCAGAACACTTACTTTGTCATGTCTCGTGGGTCGCATGTACATAGAACTCCAAACTATTCAACCCCTACTGAGTTCAAGTTTTTCCATTATCATAGCTGCACTAGCACACCAGTGCAGCCATTTTTCATTGACCAAATTGACAAGCGCTTTGAACATTTCATGTGGACAATCTTTCCTTGTCCCCATTGGATTTCCAGGTAACCGACAATGTCACCAAGACAATCATTTCACCACTGAGTTGTTTCTGTACCATCAGACAGATAATAGTATTTTTGGGGGATATCCGGATAGTGGAAATGCATGTTTTAAAGAAAAACTTCAAATGGAGACTTTTGGTTGATCATTGCAGCCTACTCCTCCTCATTTAGCCAACTTCATTATGTAATTTTAATTCCATTTTGAATTTATTAGAAATCTCCCACATCACCTGCTACACATGGAGCCTCTAACTGTAGCACCACTCTGATTGACCAACAATAACAACAAGCTACACGTGTGAAACGTGTTTAGGCTAACGGTGAGTCTTTTTTAAATGGGGCGCACTTATAAAAACGGTCACATTTGGAATGTAATGATCTATCCTTGTAGGCTATGTAGCAATGTCGCATAAATAATTTAATTTTAGACAACAACAAAAAAAATAATATATATATATATACTCTAGGGCTGACCCCAATTAGTCGACTGGTCGATTGTTTGGTCAGGCTGTTGGTTGACCGAGATCGTTTTAGTCGAACAGTAACACACACACTACCAGTCAAAAGTTTTAGAACACCTACTCATTCAAGGGTTTTTTCTTTATTTTTACTATTTTCTACATTGTAGAATAATAGTGAAGACATCAAAACTATGAAATAACACATATGGAATCATGTAGTAAGACCAAGTCCATATTATGGCAAGAACAGTTCAAATAAAAATAAGCAAAGAGAAACGACAGTCCATCATTACTTTAAGATATGAAGGTCAGTCATTTGTGAAAATTTCAAGAACTTTGAAACTTTCTTTAAGAGCAGCCACAAAAACCATCTAGCGTTATGATGAAACTGGCTCTCATGAGGACCGCCACAGGAATAGAATACCCAAATTTACCTCTGCTGCAGAGGATAAGTTCATTAGAGTTACCAGCCTCAGAAATTGCAGCCCAAATAAATGCTTCACAGAGTTCAAGTACCAGACATCTCAACATCAACTGTTCAGAGGAGACTGTGTGAATCAGGCCTAAACGGTCAAATTGCTGCAAAGAAACCACTACTAAAGGACACCAATAACAAGAAGAGGTGTGGTCCTCTGTAGCTCAGCTGGTAGAGCACGGCGCTTGTAACGCCAAGGTAGTGGGTTCGATCCCCGGGACCACCCATACACAAAAGAATGTATGCACGCATGACTGTAAGTCGCTTTGGATAAAAGCGTCTGCTAAATGGCATATTATTATTATTACTTGCTTGGGCCAAGAAACACGAGCAATGGACATTACACCGGTGGAAATCGGTCCTTTGGTCTGATGAGTCCAAATTTGAGATTTTTGGTTCCAACCGCCGTGTCTTTGTGAGACGCGGTTTGTGTGAACGGATGATCTCCGCATGTATTTCCAACCGTAAAGCATGGAGGTGTTGGTGTTATGGTGTGGGTGTGCTTTACTGGTGACACTGTCTGATTTATTTAGAATTCAAGGCACACTTAACCAGCATGGCTACCACAGCATTCTGCAGTGATACGCCATCCCATCTGGTTTGGGATTAGTGGGACTATCATTTGTTTTTCAACAGGACAATGACCCAACACCTCCAGGCTGTGTAAGGGCTATTTGACCAAGAAGGAGAGTGATGGAGTGCTGCATCAGATGACCTGGCCTCTACAATCCCGTGACCTCAACCAAATTGAGATGGTTTGGGATGAGTCGGACCGCAGAGTGAAGGAAAAGCAGCCAACAAGTGCTCAGCATATGTGGGAACTCCTTCAAGACTGTTGGAAAAGCATTCCAGGTGAAGCTGGTTGAGAGAATGCCAAGAGTGTGCAAAGCTATCATCAAGGCAAAGGGTGGCTATTTGAAGAATCTCAAATATAAAATATTTGTTTAACACTTTTTTGGTTACTACATGATTCCATATGTGTTCTATCTATCTATGTATATATTTGCGCCCATCTCAGTGAACTAAACCATTGCGGAGGCCTAGACTAAAAGCCAACTCATGCTTGATCCGAAAATGTGGTCAGAGGCTCCATATGGAGGGTGTGACGCAATTGCGGAGCCTCCAGAGGCATGCAGAAGCCAAATCGAGCTCCTTACCGCATTGCCATGCGCCTCCCAAATTTTGTAATAATGCGGAGGGCTCTGTATAACTCTGCATTGACATGATTGGTTGACGGTAGGTGGAGGCGGTACATCCTGTAGAAAACACAAACTCACTTCCTTGACAACAGCTCTGTGCCACGAAACGCAACAAATATGAATGCCCTGACTTCTGCTGAGGCCGTATCACCGTAAATGCTGCATGGCCAATGCAGACGTCAGAACCATGCGCACAGATGCACTTCTCTCTCCAGAATGCGCTCTCTCCCGCCAATTTGTGCACATTCATTGTTTCATAATTGTGTGAATTGTTTGCATTTGATTGTTAGTGTATATCAATTCCCCATGACATATCACCAGTAGTACATTTACTGTTAATTCCTATAATTTCTAATCTACAATGTTTGTTACGATAATTTCTGTTAATGCATTCAATATTAGTCTATTATTCCAGTCTTCCCATTATCATTGTCAGAGTGGACACATTTTTTGCAGAGTGCACAACCTATGCTACACTTGTGAGAAACACAAGGTTAATTTCATTCAATTTACGAGTTTTGTCAATTTATTCATTGTCTTTTGTTTGGCGCGCTCCTGTCAATGTTGAGTTAGGACACACACTCATAGAAGTAGTCTAATAGGCTACCTGGCCTGCGCATAAATGTAGGCATATAAAATGTGCCCAGTTGGGGTTCTGATAGTATTTCTGATTGGCTTAACGCACCACCACTAATGAGCTGTGGAGCTTCTCAAAGTAATGTTTTCTTCACCTCAAACAGCAACAAACAAAGTCTGTTTTTATAGCCATTGAGAATTACAATAGTTCCTCAATGTATTTGAAAAACCTTTCCTTTCAATAACCACTCAGAGTGAAAAGGGAAAAATTTCATGCTCTGATCCAGTCAAAACATCATAAAATAGGCCTACCCGATTACTTCTTATCAGTGCTTGACTTGGACTGAAAAAGGTTCCGGTACTCATTTTGGGTGCTGGTACTGTTTATATTTAGGTGCAGGAGCTCCACAATACCTTTGAGCTAATATTCTATAAGAGGAAAGGGAACTCAAGCAGTAGAACATTTGAGGTGCCCATACTCAGCTCCGGTGAGCTCCTGCCCAGGTCAACCACTGCTTCTTATCCCTTGCGCAAATAGCCTACAGCTATGTTTGTCCCGAGCTCACTGGTGCGGGAAACTGAGAGCCCAGACTATTTTATAAAATGTCGCAAATTCGCTAGCGCAGGCTTTGGGCCGGACCCAAGTTAATAGTTGATACAATGTTTCAAGTTCGTTGCAGACAGGCCATGTGTAGCCAATGTGATTTATAGGATATTCCTTTTTTCCCCCAATCAGGATATTTTCTACCTGCAGGCTGCAATGTTTTTACTGGTTGGCTTTATGTAGGCCATTTTTACATAGTTGGCCATGGCAATAGAAGTTACTTTTTAGGTTTGTATCATTTCATTTAGATTTGGATAGAATTTTCATTAACCACATAACATTGATTTTAAAATATGAAGAAGTTATTATAAATTAAATTGTTTCACGGAAATTTGCATATGAAAACCATAACTGGCACGCAGATCGGTAGAAATTGTAAGATACGTTGGCATTCCACATGAGAAAGGTTGCGGACTCCTCGTGTAGCCTATTACCGGCAACTTCAGGAGAGTAATGGCAGAATCTGTAAAAGCCAGCAGGAGCGGGAGGAGAACAGTTGGGTCAGGTTAAGGTTTTTTCCTTCTGGTTATCTAGATCTCTGGCGCCCTCGAGGCATTTGTCTTATTTCATCAAACCGTAAGCTCAATTGTTATAGTTGATTTTATTAAAACACATTTATTGACAACCATGTCCATTTACGGAAAAATACACGCAAAAAAATTTTGACCAATCGATTGGAAAATATATTTTGGGGTCGGGGACAGCCCTAATTCTCTCCAAGTAATGGAATAATAACGTCAAACACAGACACTTTGGATTGAGTATCAACCCGCTACACTACACAGGTGTTTACTTGACTGATGTGTGGATGTATCCAAACATAGATACAAGAGTTGAGTGTGTGTATGTCCTTTTGTTTTGTGGTGAGTCCAGGTAAATGTTATGGGGGACTGATGCAAGACGTCTAAGTGAATACTGAGGCGGGTGTGTGTGTGTGTGTGTTTGTGTAGGAGCGGAGCTATTGAGTCCTTACCCCATGCCGCCTGTGCCTCTAGGTCCGACACCTCGGTCGAATCCCCGGTCACCATCCCCACGACCTCTAAAGCCGCCTCCCCTTTCTCCACGGCCTCGCACGCCACTATCTCCATAGCCTCCGTCCGAGCCACCATACCCTCCTCCACCACCTCCTCCCATTGGTGGCGAGTTACCTCTGTACCCTGTGGAGTAGTAGATGGAGGAGATTGAGGTTGAGATTCCGGGTGGGTGCTCAAAAAGAGAAGGGTGGGTGTATTCGAATGAACGTCAACTGGACCTCTAATATCAGAGGGGATTCCTTACCTCCACCCCCCTGGCTGTACTTGGTCTGCTGGCCGTAGCTCTGGGGTGGAGGTGAGCTGTAACTGGGGGCCTGGCTGTAGGGAGCCCCCCCGGGCTTCTGCTGGCCCCCGCAAGCCCCACTCTGTCCACCGCCACTGCCCCCATAGCCACCTCCACCTCCGCTCTGGCTCCCGTAGCTTCCCCCACCCCCACTCTGCGGTGGCTGCTGCCCATAGTTAGAGGGCTGGGAGTTGTTGCCATAGCTACTGTGGAAAAGGGACAAAAAAGCAGCAATGTTATTTTAAGCCCAGCTGCTTCCACTTTTAGGAACACTAAGGATATGCATCAACATTTCATGGTTTATCAACACATTTTGTATGCTCATCCCACAATGCAGAACTTCCCAAACAGTCTTCCATAGTCTCTCACCTGGTAGAAGACTGTGCAGCAGCAGACTGCTGTTGTCCATATCCAGAGTAGGACGACTGCTGGTTGTAGCCGCTCTGTGGTGGCTGGCTACTACTACTGTTGTAGCCCCCAGAGCTGTAGGACTGACCGCCCTGGGATGGAGGCTGAGAACCACATCCTCCTGAAGGAAGGTCACAGCAAGGGAGACAGAGAGAGAGAGGGGATGTGAGGTGGATATGCATCTGCAGGCGTAAGCTACCAAGCACCAATTATGGAATCCAAAAAACTGTTTGTCAATAAATAGCTCTATCCCTAGATAAGACAACAGGAGACAATGCTTAGAGACCAGACTACATCAGGAACACAATGCCTATAGCTGCACGATGAATGAATATTTATTATGGTGCCGCTGGTCACGTACCTGACTGCGACTGGCCGTAGTTAGAGCCGTAGCCTCCCTGGCCATAGGAGGCAGAGTTGCCCTCAGAGCTCTGGTTGTAGCTTCCACCGCTGCCGTAGCCCTGCTGGGCGGACGATTGACTGTAGCCACTCTGGCTGGCCTGGCCACCACCATAGGACCCATAGCTGAAAGCAGCAAATGCAGATATTATATGGAGTGACAACATGCACATACAATCTCATCTCAATATAAGAAATGTGTCACTTCAAAACTGGTGTGAAAAGTAATTTCAGTGAGAAACTGAACTTATATAGGACTTCACATACATTCAGAAGACACCTTGATCAAGCTTGCAGAACATAATGTAGGCTGGGCTTAGCCAGAGTATATTCTCCTGGCATGTATTTAACTTTAGATGGCTTTGAGTTTAGCAATCTGGGATTAATTTAACATCCACCAATAAAACGATACCATACACATATTTTGACTCACCCCTGGGCTGCAGTCGGAGGGTAATCTGAGGAACAAGAAAGGGATGTGATCAGTAGAGGTAGCCTAATAGTAGGGTGTCCACCCACTCTGCCTAGCGGGTAAAAACGAACTTTGGCGATGAAATTCCACTTAATGTTATAAAACACATTTTACCAAGACAAATATGATTCTTCATGTTCTGAATCGTTCAGTGGGGTCCCTCTCTAACATATCATTAACACTATATCCAAAAAGTAGGATTTCATAACCCAATACATAATTGACAGAGCTTTGCTGCTTTTCTCGCAGTAACTTGAGGATTTTACATGTTGTGGTGGTCGTCTGCAAAGTTGTTTCTGCGGGTCGTAAAAAGCTAAATATGCATGACACGAAATGAATGAAATGTAAAAGCCTTTGAAAATAAAAGGTTTGTGGTACGCGCAGTGCCCGACTGCCCGACTAGGCAGTCTAATTTACTGCAATTCTACAGATCTACCCATGGGGCTTAGAGAAAATGTGCAGTTTTAAAGCGAGTTTCCTGAAAATCAAAACATTTTGCCATGGCTTATGCTATCTGAGTGACTTAAACATTATACCAAAATCAATGGGGGCCCCATGCCATGACAAAAATAATTCTGAATGAATCATTAGGAGTTTTAGATTCTCCCTGACTGTCTAACTTTTATTTTTGGTTAGTTCTCAAAGGTGATTTTATAAAAAATATATATATATACACAGTGCATTCGGAAAGTATTCAGACCCCTTGACTTTTTCCACTTTGTTACCTTACAGCCTAAAATGGATTAAATTGTTTTTTCCCCGTTCATCAATCTACACACAATGCCCCATAATGACAAAGCAAATACAGGTTTAGACATTTTTGCAAATATAAAAAAAAAATGTTTCCTGAAATATCACATTTACAGTAGTATGTGTATTCAGACCCTTTACTCAGTACTTTGTTGAAGCACCTTTATCAGCGATTACAGCCTCAAATCTTCTTGGGTATGACACTACAAGCTTGGCACACCTGTATTTGGGGAGTTTCTTCCATTCTTCTCTGCAGATCCTCTCAAGCGCTGTCAGGTTGGATGGGGAGCGTCACTGCACAGCTGTTTTCAGGTCTCTCCAGAGATGTTCAATCAGGATCAAGTACGGGCTCTGGCTGGGCCACTCAAGAACATTCAAAGACTTGTCCCGAAGCCACTCCTGCGTTGTCTTGGCTGTATGCTTAAGGTCGTTGTCCTGTTGGAAGGTGAACCGTCACCCCAGTCAGGTACTGAGCGCTTTGGAGCAGGTTTTCATCAAGGGTCTCTCTGTACTTTGCTCCGTTCATCTTTCCCCTCGATCCTGACTAGTCTCCCAGTCCCTGCCGCTGAAAAACATCCCCCCAGCATGATGCTGCCACCACCATGCTTCACCATAGGGATGGTGCCAGCTTTCCTCCAGACGTGACCATTGGTATTCAGGCCAAAGAGTTCAATCTTGGTTTCATCAGACCAGATAATCTTGTTTCTCATGGTCTGAGAGTCCTTTAGGTGCCTTTTGGCAAACTCCAAACGGGCTGTCATGTGCCTTTTACTGAGGAGTGGCTTCCGTCTGGCTACTCTACCATAAAGGCCTGATTGGTGGAGTGCTGCAGTGATGGTTGTCCTTCCGGAAGGTTCTCCCATCTCCACAGATGAACTCTAGAGCTCTGTCAGAGTGCCCATCGGGTTCTTGGTCACCTCCCTGACGGACAATTCCTTCGATCTCATGGCTTGGGTTTGACATGCACTGTCAATTGTGGAACCTTATATAGACAGGTGTGTGCCTTTCCAAATCAAGTCCAATCAATTGAATTTACCACAGGTGGACTCCAATAATATAATATGCCATTTAGCAGACGCTTTTATCCAAAGCGACTTACAGTCATGCGTGCATACATTTATTTTATTTTTTGTGTATGGGTGGTCCCGGGGATTGAACCCACTACCTTGGCGTTACAAGCGCCGTGCTCTAACAGCTGAGCTACAGAGGCCCAATCAAGTTGTAGAAACATCTCAAGGATGATCAATGGAAACAGGATGCACCTGAGCTCAATTGACTTATAGCAAAGGGTCTGAATACTTATGTAAATAAGGTATGTTTTTTAATTTTTTATAAATTTGCTAAATGTTCTAAAAACCTTTTTTTTTTGCTTTGTCATTATGGGGTATAGTGTGTAGATTGATGAGGATTTGTATTTATTTAATCCATTTTAGAATAAGGCTGTAATGTAACAAAATTTGGAAAAGGGGAAGGGCCCTGAACACACTTAAATGCACTCTGTTAGGGGGTGGCAGGTAGCTTAGTGGTTAAGAGCGTTGTGCCAGTAACCGAAAGGTCGCTGGTTCTAATCTCCGAGCCGACTAGGTGAAAAATCTGTCGATGTGCCTTTGAGCAAGGCAATTAACCCTAATTGCTCCTGTAAATCGCTCTGAATAAGAGTGTCTGCTAAATGACTAAAAATTTTAAAAATGTACATTTCATCTATTAATTGAATGGTGCCCTTCGGAAAATACATTTACATTGTGTTTTACTGCAATTTCTTCCACCCTGCTCCATGTATTCAATGTATTCCATTTCAAATGTGGCTTCCAGTGCAGCTTTATGCCGTGTTCAAAACAAATGGGAACTCTGAAAAAAAACGAGCTCTGACTGGGAAAAATCGATTTCAACGGATGACCTGAAGATCACTGACGTCATGATTTGACCTTCTATTTTTCCAAGTTCCCAGTGGTTTTGAATGCAGCATTTCTTCCAGGCTATGACGACACATCTGGCAGTTCCTTCTCTGTATGTTCCTAGGAGCTAGCTATTTGTTCCCTAAAAGCAGGGGTGAAAGTAAGGCGATAATGGCGTTCCGGCAAAATAAATAGTGGGGGTACGCCGTACTGGTAAAACGTGAGCCTATCACAATTAATACAACATGCCCAAAAAACGATTGGCTATTACAGCATTATTTAACACTACTGCATGTCAGCCGCATGAAAAATGTATGAATTGACTGGAAAACAGGGGGTATACACTCCCCAAATTGCATTGTGGTTCAATGAGAACACTTACATTTTGTCAAGGTGGAGATGAGTGGCGGAGACATGCACCAGACACACAGAGATGAGTGGCCGAGAACGAAGCGCGTGCAGAAAAAAGTTGATGGATAAATTCACGCTACAAGTGTTAGCCTAATGACAGTCGCAGAATGTCACTACAATACACGTAGGTGTCTCTTTCCATTCATCAAATTGCAGGTCAATTGAATTAAATTGCCAAAATGATAGTCTAAGTAGCTTACTCCTGTCTATACAGAAATAAATACAATCATTCAAAATAGGCTACTACACCAGAAAGCATGATTTGGCAGCAGAGGATCATTAGCTTCTTTTTTTCCCTCTTTTTTATTATTATTTTAAATCGCATAGCCTACAGTCGGAAGGGCCTGCAATTTGGACAGCGCGCCAGGCAAATTCCAAATAGGCCTAGATTGTGGAGTTGCGACTCATTGAAAAGCAGCGAGCCAGACATATCGCAATATTTAAAAATACAATCACGGAAAAACAGTTTGGAAAGCAAATGGCTGTTGCTGTAAAGAGATTACAATGAAAATAATCCAATCTGTCTTTTAGTCATCAAAATTCTCAACTTAATTGAGTGAACAGTAGCCTAGTATCTTATTGGTTCCAGCATTTTAGTATTTTTGCGAACAGTGATTGAGTTATAATATTAGCCTAAATTATGAATATCCAATCTAATCAACACATTAGTAATAGTAGGCTATCTTACATAAGTCTGTAAATGCGAGGATGCATGGAATGCTTTATTATAAGGGTCCATGTTTATGGTGAAATGTAGCTTTGCGCCGCCTATGTTAAAAGGTATTGCATGTTAAAAGTGATATGGCAAATATCTACTAGGCCTAGGCACACAGACATCATATACAGTGCATTTGGAAAGTATTCAGACCTGTACCCTTTTTCCATTTTTTTTTTTTTGGGGGGGGGGGGGGGGGGGACTATTTAATCCATTTTAGAATAAGGCTGTAACGTAACAATGTGGAAAAGTAAAGGGGTCTGAATACTTTCCGAATGCACTGTATTTAATGAATATGGCTTCTATGTGTAAGCTATAAAAAAATATATGCGTGCGCGCACTTGGGTGTCCCGTACCGATAATAAATTAAATCTACTTTCACCCCTGCCTAAAAGTAATCTTATTCCGACTATTTAGAATATGTTAGCTAAGCGACCAAGCTAATAAGATGACATCTACAAAACTAGGTCAGTAGCTAGCACAGACCGGTCTCCTTGCTTGGTTCAGTTGGTTGTTGAACGCATTAGTTTGCAGCTAAACAAAATGGTGGTTGTCGAATTTGCCCATCTAACTAGTTAACAGTCTTTTATTTTGGCTAACTTTTGTTTGACTTGACAAGTTCACTTGCCAACAGTTACAAATATTTTAAATGTTTCCTTTGCTAGCTAGCTATCTAAAACAACATATGTATAACGTTACACAGTTAGCTGACTGACGTTAGCTTGCAAGCTAGCTACTTTTCATCTGACGTTAGCTAGCTTTTTGTTTTTAATGGCCATTTCAGATATAACGTTGTCTTGTCCAGTGTATTCTTACCATTCGACGCCATCTTCTCGTTTAAAACCTTCGAGTCTGAGTTCAAACTTGTCAGATGTTGATTAGTTAGCTAACGTTAGCCTATTCTTCAACACAGCAGGTCGCACCAGCTGCTAATGGTAGAAAATGGTTCTCTCAGCCTCCAGTCTTATGCCGCGTTCACATACTATTCGGAAATTTGAAACTCGGGAATGTCAGACTTGCTAACTGATTGTAGTTATACACGTTCCGCGTTCAACCAGTTATTAAGTCGGAAATGTCCGAGTTTCCTAGTTCCGACTAGTACGTGAATGCAGCAATATTGCACTGGTCATATGTCAGATGACGACTCCATCATAAAGTAATACAAGCGTCATCAAGGACCACATTTATCCATAGCCAAAGGTTTGTCTGATTTAATTCTCACCTATTAATTAAGCAAGAAATTAGGATTTCCATCTGCTCAGTAGTCCATGTGTCAAATACTTGAGGTGCCACAAAAGTAGACAGTTAGAATTTTTTTTTTTTTTATAGAACACTAATCATATTAAACACATTTTCTCCTTTATTTGAAATGGCAATATGTGTATGCTATGGATTTGGTAACAAGGAAAAATCATTTACACACTCGAAAGACTCACACAATCACTGACCGCCACCATGTAACATACAAAATAATTCAGTCGAGATGAGCAGGCCCATAGCTGTGGTGGAGTGTAATACAGTGTTTTTCTTGAGTCATGCACATTGCTGAATGGAGGGGTGTCAAAGGATCCCCAGGAGTTTGAAATTATCTCAGTCAAAACAAACAAGTTTTACACATCCAGATAAAAATTTATTCTCACGTTATGTTTCAGGTGGATTTTCAGTGTGTCGGTCAAGTCTAATTGCCATTTTAGGTATTGGCCTTTTAGTTATTGTTTGTCAGGTATGTTTAAACAGGTATTGTAGTTTAACAAGACCAACATTTAGGCTATTGGCACTGAATCAGAACATGGAGCGCTTCTTCATGGCTTCTTCATGTAATCATTTTCATATTATGAGCTGTTTGACACAATAATGACACAGTAGACTAAGGCTAAATTACATACTACTTCAAACATGTCATGTTTTATACTTATGCCTACATGTCATGCATCTTGTTTATATCAATGTGGATGTTTAGTGCTTGTACAGGTGATTCTTATGGTTGTCAAACACCGTTGTATGCACATACACTAGACATCTACATATTTACTGCATCTTTGCAGGTTTCTGTAGGCTGGGATGTTTTGCCAGCAGTAGTGAAGCCAGGGTGTATCCTAGTACCAGAGCCCCACTGGCTGCTCTCTGTGTGGCCCCACCGGCTGCTCTCTGTGTGGCCCCACCTATGAGCTGGGCCTCTGGGACTATGGCTCTTATGAAATCAGCGAAGGCAGACACCTTGGCGTAGACTCCAGGCTGGTTGCGCTGAGCACAGTCTAGTCCAAAACTCACCACCCCAGCTTGGATCCATGTCCCGTTTTCTATGGGGCAGACCAAGGGTCCTCCAGAGTCCCCCTGAGACCTGAGGAGAACAAAAACATGTTTAGAGACTCAAAATGTGTGTGACTGTGTTTGCCAAGGGAATTGGAATGCTTAGGTAGGTGTGTCTGGATGTTTGTCCACAGGTATGCATATACACTTGTGTGAAAGTGTTTGTGCAGGTGGATGGGCTGTCTATCGAAGCACTGTTACCCGTCGCTCCACAAAAGCCTCGGCCCTTGCAGAGCAAGGGAAACAACTACTTCAAGGTCTCAGAACGAGTGATGTCACCGATTGAAACGCTACTAGCGCGCACCGCTAACTAGCTAGCCATTTCACACCGGTTACACTCGCTGGAATACACGGAGTGGCGGTCTATCTGGACGACATCGTGGTACACGGCCCAGACCTCCACATCCATTTCCAGCGACTCCACAGAGTATTCAGTGCTCTACTGCAGAACAACCTGACACTGAACGGAGAAAAGTGCACCTTTGCAGCTCCAGTCGTCGTTTGTGGGGTTCCACCTGTCAGCCAAAGGCATTGCCCAACTCATGTCGAACATCGAAGCTGTCCACCGCATCCTGTCCACCGCATCCTCACTGAAGAGCCAGCTCACCACAGCCCCAATCTTGGCTCACTTTGACCCCGCCTGCCGCACCATCGTCACCTGTGATGCCTCAGCTGGAGCACTGGGCACAGCTGCAGAATGGCATTGAGGCCCGTCGCATTCACCTCGAGGGCCCTGACCGATGGGCCGACCACCTCAGACAGTATGACTACCAGCTCAAGTTCACTCTGAGGAGGGACAACGTGGTAGCAGACCTCCTCTCACGTTCCATCAACGCTCCTACTCCAACCGTCTCACCAGACGACAATGAAACAGAGTTCGTACAAATGCTCCACGCTCTCCTTCAGCCAGCCACCTCACTGGAGGAGCTGAAGCAAGCATCTGAACAGGACCCCACACTGTCTACCCTGCGCACCTAATTTACATATATACTGGATGGCCAGCACGTGTGCTGGAAGAGCTGGCGCCTTTCACCAGGGTGAAGCATTAACTTTCTTGCTTTGCACTGTGGTCCCGTGGCCTGCGTGCGCGTGTTCTATTCATGGCACACAAAGGTCACTTGGGAAGGTCAAGCAGCGATGTCGAGACCTCGTGTGGTGAGTATTTGTATTTATTAGGGATCCCCATTAGCTGCTGCCAAGGCTCTTCCTGGGGTCCAAACATATATTAAAGCATTTACAATACATATAAAACAAAATATAAAACAGTACATCATGACATTATTACACCACTACCTATCTACAATACAAAATGTTTAATACCACCATACAACAATATCACAATGTGTGCGTATGCATGTGTCTATACCCTTGTGTGTGTCTCTTCACAGTCCCCGTTGTTCCATAAGGTGTATTTTTACCTGTTAAAAAAAAAAAATCTGATTCTGCTGCTTGCAGTTACCTGATGTGGAATAGAGTTCCATGTAGTCATGGCCCTATGTAGTACTGTGCGCCTCCCATAGTCTGTTCTGGACTTGGGGACTGTGAAGAGACCTCTGGTGGCATGTCTTGTGGGGTATGCATGAGTGTCCGAGCTGTGTGCCAGTATTCCAAACAGACAGCTCGGTACATTCAGCTTGTCGACACCTCTTCCATTCTGAGCCAGGAGAGACTGACATGCATGTCATTAATGTTAGCGCTCCGTGTACTTTTAAGGGCCAGCCGTGCTGCCCTGTTCTGAGCCAACTGCAATTTTCCCAAGTCCCTCTTTGTGGCACCTGACCACACTACTGAACAGTAGTCTAGGTGCAACAAAACAAGGCCTGTAGGACCTGCCTTGTTGATAGTGTTGTTAAGAAGGCAGAGCAGCGCTTAATTATGGACATACTTCTCCCCATCTTAGCTACTGTTGTATCAATATGCTTTGACCATGACAGTCTACAATCCAGGGTTACTCCAAGCAGTTTAGTCACCTCAACTTGCTCAATTTCCACATTATTCATTACAAGATGTAGTTGAGGTTTAGGGTTTAGTGAATGATTTGACCCGAATACAATGCTTTTAGTTTTGGAAATATTCAGTACTAATTTATTCCTTGCCACCCATTCCGAAACTAACTGCAACTCTTTGTTAAGTGTTGCAGTTATTTCAGTTGCTGTAGTAGCTGACGTAGCTACTCAAAGCAAGTGGCATGTCATTAGTAGAGATTGAAGAAAGTAATGGGCCTAGACAGCTGCCCTGGGGAATTCCTGATTCTACCTGGATTATGTTGGAGAGGCTTCCATTAAAGAACACCCTCTGTGTTCTGTTAGACAAGTAACTCTTTATCCACATTATAGCAAGGGGTGTAAAGCCATAACGCATTCGTTTTTTCCAGCAGCAGACTATGATCGATAATGTCAAAAGCCGCACATAAGTCTAACAAAACAGCCCCCCCAATCTTTTTATCATCCATTTCTCTCAGCCAATCATCAGTCATTTGTGTAAGTGCTGTGCTTGTTGAATGTCCTTCTCTATAAGCATGCTGAAAGTTTGTTGTCAATTTGTTTACAGTAAAATAGTATTGTATCTGGTCAAACACAATTTTTTCCAATAGTTTACTAAGGGTTGGTAACAGGCTAATTGGTCGGCTATTTGAGCCAGTAAAGGAGGCTTTACTATTCTTAAGTAGCGGAATTACTTTTGCTTCCCTCCAAGCCTGGGGGCACACACATTCTAGTAGGCTTAAATTGAAAATATGGCAAATAGGAGTGGCAATATCGTCCGCTATTATCCTCAGCAATTTTCTATCCAAGTTGTCAGACCCCGGTGGCTTGTCATTGTTAATAGACAACAATCATTTTTTCACCTATTCAACACTCACTTTACGGAATTCAAAATTACAATGCTTGTCTTTCATAATTTGGTCAGATATACAATTGTTGCTGGCATGTCGTCTAAGTTTGCTAATCTTGCCAATGAAAAAAGTATTTAAGTAGTTGGCAATATCAGTTGGTTTTGTGATGAATGAGCCATCTGATTCAATGAATGATGGAGCCGAGTTTGCCTTTTTTCCCAAAATTTCATTTAAGGTGCTCCAAAGCTTTTTACTATCATTCTTTATATAATTTATCCTTGTTTCTTATTGTTGTTTCTTCTTATTTTTATTAAGTTTATTCCCGTGATTTCTCAATTTGCAATACATTTGCCAATCGGTTGTGCAGCCAGACTTATTTGCCATTCCTTTTGCCTCATCCCTCTCAACCATACCATTTTTCAATTCCTCATCAAGCCACAGGGATTTAACAGTTTTTACAGTCATTTTCTTATTGGGTGCATGCTTATTAGTAACTGGAATAAGCAATTTCATTAATGTGTCAAGTGCAGTGTCTGTTTGCTCCTCATTACACACCACAGACCAACATATATTCTTTACATCAACAACACAGGAATCACTACAAAACTTCTAGTATGACCTCTTATACACAATATTAGGCCCATCCTTTGGAACTTTGTTTTTCCTAGATATGGCTACTACACTGCTCAAAAAAATAAAGGGAACACTAAAATAACACATCCTAGATCTGAATGAATGAAATAATCTTATTAAATACTTTTTTCTTTACATAGTTGAATGTGCTGACAACAAAATCACACAA